AGAACTCACGTTCAGTGTCAGTAACTTTGGGCTACTTAGCCGACTGAGCCACCCAGGCACCCCAGTAATTAAGTGTTTTAAATATTATCAGAATAGTGTCACTATATTGATGAAAATTTGGAAAATAGGACACAAAGTCACTCATATCACCATTAAACTACTTAACAGCATTATGTTGCTGGACTTTTCCCCTTTGTGTTTTTTATCATGTAGGTGTCATTCAGTTATGTATACGATATTGTATCTTTTCTCACTTATTTCATAGGCATTTATCCATGTTTTACATCTTTGTAGTCATTTTTAACATTCTGTAATCTAAAACTCCATATTCAGCCCATTCTGTTTTATAGGTCATTTGACTCTTTCTTTCTTTCTTTTCTTTTATTTTTTTAAGATTTTATTTTTAAGTAATCTCCACATCCAACATGGGGCTCGAACTCACGACCCCAAGATCAAGTGTCGCATGTTTCACTGACTGAGCCAGCCAGGGGCCCTGATCTTTTGAATTATTTTATATTAGGATCTCAAGTACCAGGAATGAGGTGAATGCATGTCTAAATACTAACTTACCTTCCACCCAAGCCATTTTTGTTTGGCTTCCCTAGTTTTTGTTGGTATGACAAAGGCCTGGTAGTTTACTTTAATGGTATGACTGAGGGCCTTCCCTACTATATCCCAGACTTCTTTTTCCCTTTCTTTCCTCCTGGTCACTTGAACCTACCCTGTGCTGTGTCATCTGGACAGTTTGCCACGTGTTAGTTTTTTCTGACCTTTGCTTTGTTCCAGTGAGTGTGTCTTTTCCATCCTCACTAAAGGGACAACATTGCACAGACTCTGGAACCAGACTGCCTGAATTATATTCTAGCTCCACTTCCACTACTTGTATGTCCTTTGGCAAATTAAATAATCTTCTGTACCTCAGTTTCCTTATCTGTAAGATGGGAGTAATAATAGAGGTCCACAATCCTTTACCTGCACTCCTTGGGCTAGATGCTTCAGAATTTAGAATTTTGGGGACTCTAAAGAGGTAATATGATGCATATGCCATTTTATGTAACACCTCCAAGATGTGGACAGCACCTGATGAAAACACATCCACGGTTTTGCAGCAAAACAAATGAAGTTGTACAACAAGTGGGATTAAAAGCCTGCTTCAGTTGAGGTCAGGAATTGCCACCAGATGAATTTCAGCAGCATGCCCAAGAAAAAAAGTCAGCTTGGATTCACCTTTTTGGAATCCAGGATAAGGAAGTGAAGGCATTTCGATCTGTCTTTCGAGGTTGCTGTGAGGACTGAGTGGGTGTGTGTGTGCATGTGCCCTGCGGCTGCTGCCATTGCCCTTGTTATCATTACTGTTAGTACTAAAATTTTGCCCATTCTTTAAGGCTTAGCTCAAACTCCATCTTTCTTTTTCTTTCCTGTCCCTTCCAAGGTGATCGTTCTCACCTGCTCTCTGTTTCTCTAGTTCTTTCCTTTTCTCTCCTGTCTCCCCTGTCCTCCTCAGCCTCTTGCTTGCTCCTGGTAGTTGGTACCTTTCTTCTGGTGGTTCTGTCTTGCACCTGTAGCTGTCGAATACTCAGTTGTAAGACTGAGGATAAGTCCAAGGCCCTCGAGTTGCACAAATCTGTGGTTATTATCCCTGGGGTTGTGTAGTGCAGCAGCCCTGGCAAGGTCCATCTTATCTATCCTTTTTTTTTTTTTTTTTTTTTAATTCATTTGACAGAGAGACACAGTGAGAGAGGGAACACAAGCAGGGGGAGTGGGAGAGGGAGAAACAGGCTTCCCGCTGAGCAGGGAGCCCGATGTGGGGCTCGATCCCAGGACCCTGGGACCATGACCTGAGCTGAAGGCAGATGCTTAAGGACTGAGTCACCCAGGCGCCCCCATCTTATCTATCCTTGACTTCCCTGAATCACTTAAGACAGTGCATTGCACATAACGGATTCCCAGCGAAGACATGCTGACCTTGGTTGAATGTCACACAGGGCACAGATAGTATTCCATTAAGATGATCCAGTGCTTTGCAAACTCAGCGTCCGAGTTTGACCAAGCTCAGGAAGTTAGTGTTGATCAGATTCTGTGGATACGAGAACTCACGTTCAGTGTCAGTAACTTTGGGCTAGTGTTGGTAAAACATTGTGAGGAATAGTGAAGAGAAGGAGTGGGTTATTCTAAGTTGGAACACAGATGCACACACAGACTATCTTATCATTTTGTGCATTCATGCCTGGCTTTTCAGGAGCACATGGTCTTCCAGAGAAGACAGGAGGTGCTCATGGAACATTTGCCTCATGAATAAGTGCAGAGTCAAGACAGTGAATCAATAGTAGATTTGGTGTGGGGAGTTGGTGAGCTTATTCCATAAAGAAATTCTAATTTTATTTTGTGTCTTGATTTTTGTGGTGGGTGGGACTGAGCAGCCAACAAGGAGAGCCTGCCAGAACTGAGCACAGCTCAACAGAACAAGCTGAAGCACCTTACCATCGTGAGCTTGGCGTCGAGAATGAAGGTACAGTGCCGAACCTCTTCCTGTCTCGCTCCTCACTGGCTTCGGTGCACGAGCTCCCAGCTGTGCATAGTCGTCATACCATGAATGCATAAAATTGGCTTGGCAAAGGACAACAGAGATAAAGATAGCCATTAAATAGTGTAGATAATTATTCACCATTTCATTCAGGAAAAGTATGCCCAGGAGACCTTGTGAATCAGCAGGTCTCAGTTCTGGTATGCTGTAGTGACTCACTTGGTGTGAGCATTTTGCCATACCAAAGGGAGACTGCTGTTTCAAGATAGGTAGTTTTTCAGATGGGAAAACTTTGCCTCTCAAGGCAAGTTAACCACTTCATCTGTTGCTTAGTGCACAGTGAACTGTGCCAGTGCTGGAGGAAAAACTTGCTCTGTTGGACTTAGAGCTAGATTTTTATTTATTTTTATTTTTTTTAAAGATTTTATTTATTCATATGACAGAGGCACAGCAAGAGAGGGAACACAAGCAGGGGGAGTGGGAGAGGGAGAAGCAGGACCCCTGCCGAGCAGGGAGCCCGACGCGGGGCTTGATCCCAGGACCCCGAAATCACGACCCAAGCCGAAGGTAGACGCTCAATGACTGAGACACCCAGGTGCCCCGAGAGCTAGATTTTTATTTTTATTTGTTTATTTTTTTAAAAGATTTTATTTATTTATTTGACAGAGTTAGCAAGAGCAGGAACACAAGCAGGGGAGTGGGAGAGGGAGAAGCAGACTTCCCGCCGAGCAGGGAGCCCGATGCGGGGCTTGATCCCAGGATCCTGGGATCATGACCTGAGCCAAAGGCGGACGCTTAATGACTGAGCCACCCAGGCGCTCCGAGAGCTAGATTTTTAACATGCTGCCTTCTTCTGGGGGTTGTCAAGCTTAATTATCTTAACCAGGATTTTTGCCTTACATGCTCTCTTTAGATGCTAACCTTCTGTAAGATAACCACTCCATCGTATCTCTTAGTCCTCTGCCCCTCCATTTAGAAGAGGCCATGCAGCCAGCTTCTCGTAGCCATTAACAAAGAAGATCCAGATTTGGTTAATTTACAGTTGATTTTGGCTCTCTGCCCAATCCCAGCATAACTGTCTAAGTTTTTGTGGGGCTTTGGAGTTTGCCCTTTGCATTTCCCCTCTGTGACTGAGCTTGAGAGATGTAGATTTGTTCTTGCATTGCCATTTCAGTTGCTGAGATCATTTTCCCTGGTCTAATAACAAATTTCTGATTCTCGGCCTGGCATTTCAGGTGGGAGGCCTGTTTTCTTAGGAAATGAGGACTTGACCCCGCCTTTTTTTTTTGGCCTGATCGTGGACTTCCCAAGTGTAGCAAAGAGTAGGAGTAACTTTTTTCCTTATCTCTGCAACCTGTCATAAGCCCATCTACATCCCTGAGTTTCAGACCTTTAGTCATAGAAAACCCCTCTAGGTATGTTTGCTGTTATTTTCTTGTTTGTATACCTCTTCGTCCTGTTTTTGAGATTTGATTGCTGTATTAACCTCCAAATTAGTAGTGATGTGTCCAGAAAACTAGATATTTAGATATAGAGTTGTCTTGGATAAATGTAAAATGTTGGTATAGCCCAATAAGGGACTGCTGTTGGGGAATTGACATTGGTTGTAAGAGTCTGAGAAAACAGATGTAAACTTCAGGATGACCCCTGAGTTGACAGTACCCCCCTGTCCACCTGTACATATGTTAGCCTGCAAATTTTTTTGCTTGTGCTCTCCTGGGCAGGCAGCCAGTTCTCCTCTTCAGTGTCTGAAATTGTGTGGGAGTTTTATGATGATCTGGCATTTTATGTCAAGTCTGCAAGCTTCCAGAAGTTGGTAGAGTGGCACACACCGAGTATTTCCCTTTCTCTTCTGGGACACTTAAGAGTGCTTCACAACATCAAAGCTAAAGGCTGGGTGAAGTCCAGGAGGTAGAGAATCTAGGAGAATGCATTCCTAGATGCTGTGGGTCTTGTTTCAATCCCATAGGTCTCACAGCTCACATTTATCTATGTCTTGTTGCCGTAGTTATTAATAATTACCACCAGACTGCATTTCCCAAACCCTTGAGACAGGTGTACACCTGCATTTTCTTTAGCGCTTGTCAGTGGTTTTTGTAAATATCACATGGCTTTATCTGCAGTGTATCCCCTACTCCGTGCTGCTGAGGGACCTGGAGATGCGGAATCTCCGGGAACTGGAAGACCTCATCATTGAGGCTGTGTACACTGACATCATCCAGGGGAAGCTGGACCAGCGAAACCAGCTGCTGGAAGTGGATTTCTGCATTGGCCGTGACATCCGAAAGAAGGATATCAATAATATTGTCAAGACCTTGCATGAATGGTGAGACTGAAAGAAGGAGGGGTCCCCTCTCATTAGGGAGGGGGACATATGGCGTGCCCTCTGTGCCTCTGCTTCGGGAAATGTTGTCTCCCAGTATCAGCTGGGGCTGCTTGGGAGCTGGAGCCTTAGGACAGTAAGCCAGGGAGTGGGGCTGCATTTGTGACCAGAGCTGTGTGGCAGCAGGAATCCCTGCAGGCCTCCCAGGGCCTTAGTTGTAAAATAGTTCTCATCTTGCTACAGCGGGGGGGGGGGGGCTGCTGTTTAATAGCAGGCTTGGCAGGTGGAGCCTCTGAAGCCTAGCCATGTGACATGGATCCAGTGCTTTGCAAACTCAGCGTCCGAGTTTGACCAAGCTCAGGAAGTTAGTGTTGATCAGATTCTGTGGATACGAGAACTCACGTTCAGTGTCAGTAACTTTGGGCTAGTGTTGGTAAAACATTGTGAGGAATAGTGAAGGGAAGGAGTGGGTTATTCTAAGTTGGAACACAGACGCACACACAGACTATTTGATAACCATATTCTGGTATATAAAACGAAGTGGGACATTTGTGGGGCACCTGGGTGGCTCAGTCGTTAAGCGTCTGCCTTCGGCTCAGGTCATGATCCCGGGGTCCTGGGATCGAGCCCCGCACCGGGCTCCCTGCTCAGTGGGGAGCCTGCTTCTTCCTCTCCCACTGCCCCTGCTTCTGTTCTCTCTCTCGCTGTGTCTCTCTCTGTCAAAGAAATAAATAAAATCTTAAAAAAAAAAAAGTGGGACATTTGCATGTTCTCTATTTTATTTTTGTTTTTTTTGCATGTTCTCTATTTTAATGGAATTTGATGTTTGCAAGAGCTTTGGACATTCTACAAGGATTTGTTATGGAGTTATTAAAATGATTTGGAGCTTATAAAGCCAGATGAGCCTAGTTGGAGAAGAGGTTTTAGCTGAGTTTTGAAGGAGGGCTGCATTAGTGAGAGTTGGAGGTGAGGAGAGCATGTTCCCAGGCAGGCATGTGGTGGTGTTGGAAATCATGAAGCAGAGCAGGCAAGCTTTGTGCAGAGGGTTAGGGAAATTTTCTTCTTTAAAATAGACTGAAACATTTCAGGCATGAGTGGCCCAGCTTTGACTCCCTGACCCCCTGTCCAGACCAAGTGTCCCTCCCTTCAGCTACTATTGGACCCTAGGGCATGTGCTGTCCACCCCTTCCTTACCCCAGGTTCTGTCCCAATCCCAAGTGTGGCCTCAAACACTTTCCCTTTACAACATCTGACACAGGCAGGAACTTTCAAAAGATTTAAAAGTGTTCAATCAGAATAAATAGGAAATAAACTTAGAAAACACCCCTTGCGTGAAAGTGCCCTGGCACAGAAATCTAGGCCTCCAGTCCTCCTGTGTCGGCTGCCTTACTCCATCTTTGAGATGACTGATGCTGTTTTCATCCCCCGAGTCTGGCTTCATTGTGTTTCTACCCAGAGGTGCCATCCTAACCCCATCCCAGGATGTTTACTAGTACAGACTCTTAAAGCTTGTGTTGAGGCACTGGAGTTAGATTTGAAACAAAATTGTTAGGTAGAGCAGTACTCCAAATATGACAGAATGTTTGCAATTACTTATTTTAAGGTGGAGGGTAAATGTGTATTCATTGTACTATTCTTTCAACTTTTTTTTAGGTTTTAACATTTTCAAAACAAGAAGTGGGGAAATGAAATAATGAGGGGGATGACAATTAGGAAGTAACAAACTTTTTTTTAAAGATTTTATTTATTAAGTGTGTGTGAGCAGGGGGAGGAGCAGAGGTAGAGGGACAAACAGACTGCATTGAGCATGGAGCTCCATGCAGGGCTCAATACCAGGACCTCAGATCATGACCTGAGCCTAAATCAACAGCCGGAGGGGGCGCCTGAGTGGCACAGCTGGTTAAGTGTCTGCCTTCGGCTCAGGTCATGATCTCAGGGTCTTGGGATTGAGACCTGCTTTGGGCTCCCTGCTCATCAGGGAGTCTGCTTTTCCCTCTCCCTCTGACCCTCCTCCCCGCTTGTGCTCTCTCTTTGTCTCAAATAAATAAATTAAATCTAAAAAAAAAATAAGAGCCGGATGCTCAACTGACTGAGCCACCCAGGCGTCCCGGAAGTAATAAACTTCTGAGAAAAGGGGCAATTTTTAAAATAGGATGCTTTTAGGGGCGCCTGGGTGGCTCAGTCGGTTAAGCGTCTGCCTTTGGCTCAGGTCATGATCCCGGGGTCCTTGGATCAATCTCTGCATTGGGCTTCCTGCTCAGCGGGGAGCCTGCTTCTTCCTCTCTCTCTGCTGCTTCCCTTACTTGTGCTCTCTCCCTCTGTCAAATAAATACATTTTTAAAAATATTAAAAAAAAATTGGATGCTGTTAGAAAATCATTTTTCCGTTGAGAAAAGTGGTGAATCCGTGCCACCTGTAAAGTCTGTCCTAATTCCCTTGGGGGTACAGTCTGTGAAACTTTCCCATGGGATACAAAGGTTGACATTCAAGCTGTGTTCTAGGAAACCATCCCACATCCTCCATGTTTGTCTCCAGGTGCCCTGTGTTACATATTCAGAAATACTGGTCTTGGAAGGAGTGAAGGGCAGGAGCCTTCCTTGGCAGACAGGGTGTTAAAGGAAGTCCCTATCGGGTGTTGGAGACAGAGATTTTGGAGGCTGGAGGAGAGCTCCCAGGCCTTTCTGTGGCTCAGGGCTGGTTATCTCTGTTGTAGGTGCGATGGCTGCGAAGCGGTTCTGCTAGGCATCGAGCAGCAAGTTCTGCGAGCCAACCAGTACAAGGAGAACCACAGCCGAACTCAGCAGCAGGTAGAGGCGGAGGTAAGGAGGACATCTGTTACTTGCTCCGGGGGATCCCTGTTTGCTCCTTCATTTTCTTGGTGTAGGCGCAGCAGCCACTAACAAACAGGCACAGGGCTAGCGGGGTACAGATGCGGATGATGTGGTCCTTAACTTTTCATGCTCTCTGTCTCCTTTCTGATTCCTGGTTGCCGGAGGGTGAGCGGGCTCGGAGAGCGGAGAATGTTGTCATTCCACGGTATACATGTACTTTGCAGCTGTAGAGCAAAAGAAATGAGTTTGGGGGTGGGTCTTAAAGATGGGTGAAGGGGGTGGTGCAGCGGGGCAGGTTCAAGGCCCTGGTTCTGCTCTGCTGCTGAAGCTGTGTGGTAGGTGCACTGTGTGTATTTTATTCTTTAAGCTACACATGTGTGTTATAACCTTTTAACATGCATGATTTCATGTTGAAAAAGGAAGGAAGGGGAAACATTTGGCAGATGAAATGCAAGTGAAAGTGTGTTATTATGGTTTTAGTGACACCTGGTTGTTCCGGACACGATTAGCCTCTCAAAACACGGGTTCTAGCCTTCGGGTTAATGGGAACTCGTGTGCTTGTGGCCTGGTGACTTGCAACTTCAGATTCAGAGCCATAAGCTAAAAATTGTAGCATTGGAAGTCCTTTTCTGATATGATGGAGCTTGAAGTGTTCATGGTATTTAATGAGTTTTCTAAGTCGTGTGTCCAGGAATATGGCAGGATGGGACCCAGAGTTAACGTTCTTAAGAAACAAAAGAAAAGTAGATATGCCTTTCAAAGGGGGATTTGTGAAATTTGAGGATTTCCCTTACTCTGTTATAAGTACTCCTTGAGAATAAAACCTGTCTTAATTATCTTTGTAAGACCAGCTTCTTGTCACATGCCTAACCCATAGTAGGTGCTCACATTGTTTGTTGTACTGAATATTTTTGTGTGTCTGTGGATTGCTGAACTCCACTTTTCATGAACTAGAACACATTTATTTTGGATATACACACATCCCTACATGCATATATATACATAAGTCTGTGAATGTTCAGTGCATTGTTTAATTTTTAACCCTACTTCTAGCCAAAGAAGTTTGAACTACATTTAATTTAGCACAAGCTAAAATTTAGCTAATGAGCTAAATGACAAATACATGTAGGACAGTAAGCCTGCTGCTTCTCTGAAAAGCTGTGTAATCCTCATCTGGGATATTGTGGCCTCTTCTCTGAGCTGGGATTGATGTCTGAGCAAAGTCGGAAGGGCTAACCACTCTCTCCTATCCATTGATTCTTCCCTATAAATTAAACTGTAGAAACGAATGAAGTTTGGGGGTGAAACATGCCCACTGAGCTGGGGTAGCCTATGTAAAGCAAACCATCTTTAACCTGATGGGTAGCCGGAGAGGAGCCTGATCACTGCTGATGGCCCCACTCCGCCCAGACTGTTGCTAATTGTGTGGTAGGTTGGGGGGGCTTGGATTGTGCTCACTAGCAAAAATGAATGATGTTAATTTCAGAATTTTGAATGGTTCAAGTTTATTTCCGTGACAAATGGCATCTGATGAAAGAAGGCACTGACTAATGGTGAGCCATGACCAGTGCTTAGAGAACAGTGTGGGCTCTTAAATTATGGTTATTACAAAGAAAGAGAGAGCCAGTGCACATGGATTTGTTATCAGAGGCCTACTGTTCGAAAACCACAGCTGTGGTTACTCTGCTGGCAGAGCCTGATGCTGCCACCAGGTGGCGGTAATAATTTGATTAAATTTGAGAGAAAGAAATTTGAAGAAAAGACCAAGGCCACCTCCACCACCAATTAAAACAATTTGCTGCCTTGGGGCGCCTGGGTGGCTCAGTTGGTTAAGCGACTGCCTTCGGCTCAGGTCATGATCCTGGAGTCGCGGGATTGAGTCCTGCATCGGGCTCCCTGCTCAGCGGGGAGTCTGCTTCTCCCTCTGACCTTCCCCCATCTCATGTGCTCTCTCTCTCTCTCTCTCATTCTCGCTCTCTCAAATAAATAAATAAATAAAATCTTAAAAAAAAAAAAACAGTCTACTGTCTTAACAGTCTTCTAGAAAACCTGGAACAGACCATTATGAGACGAGAGGGAGCATGGTCAAAACACAGAGCCTTGTCCGTTTTCCATTCAGTAAATGTATAATTAGGGTACTTAGTATAGGATGCTGATCATTCCCCAGCAAAAGGCACATAGAAAGCTGTTTGTTGTTTTGAAAAGAAAACAAATCTACCAAGAACAAAGGGGCAGAGGGAGGGGGGAAGCAGATTTTCTGCTGAGCAGGGAGCCCAACGACTCGGTGCTTGTCCCAGGATCCTGAGATTGTGACCTCAGCCGAAGGCGGACGTTCACCTGACTGAGCCACGCAGGCGCCCTGGGATGGCATGTCTTGGACTGGCAGGGCACCGGGTGAAGCCACACTTGACTTAGGATGCCCTCTGTAGTCACTGTCCCAGCCCGCTGTCCTCTTCTGATGCTCCTTTCAGGGAAGTTGTGTTGATTGAGGTGACAGCAGTTTAGGGCATGGCTGTTTCTACATCGCAAAACAACAAAAACCGAAATAAAAGAGCTTTAATCTAGTCAAGGCTCATTCTGCGGATGATAGATCTCTTCCAGGAGCCCGGTGTTGGCCTTAGACACAGCATTGTTTCTTCTCTGTGTTAGGACTGCCTCTTACTCAAGCTACTGAAATTCTGACTGCTGAGAACGTTTGACCCTGACAGCTCCCTTCTTTATAGAAAATGCTGCCTGCTTCCCAGAGAACACGGGGGTCATCAAACTGGGGAAGCACCCTTATCTCCTCTTTCCAATGCTTTTCCTCCCCTTTTCCTTCCTCTCAGCTGGCTGAGGGGCAAAAGCATAAAAGATCCTTTAGAACTGGTGTTGGGGAATGCGTATATAAACAGGCACAGCAGGGCGCAGTTGGTAGAAGTATAACATGGTATCTGTTTTCAGAAGGCGAGATAGCAATAGTTGTTAAAATGTAAAATGTGCCAACCCTTTGATCTGGAAAGCTCACTTCTAGGAATTTGTCTTCCAGTGCTGTTCACAAAAGTACGAACAGGTAAACATAGAAGACTGTTCGTAGCAGCACTGTACATAAGTGAAAAGCAAAAAATTATAAAACATTCATAATAACAGTACACAGATGATACCAAGGATGTGTGTTTTGATGTGGAAAATGTTCAGAAGTTGCTTAAGTAATTTTGAGCCCTCCTTTGTTAAGTAAAGAGATGTGTGCTGAAAAGCGGTGTAATTGTGTTTTGCCAGGCCTGATACTATGTTTTCATCATTTGTCACTTGGGTGGCTGAAGTTCATCCTCTAGTTGTTTAGTCAGGAAGGCTCATGCGGCTGTATTCCCAAAGCTCCTGTGAAAACGTTTTTAGTTTCATACATGAACAGTGGTTAACTGACTGTAGTGTTTTTAGGAACCCCTTTTTGCTTCTAAGGCCATTTTAACCGGTACTTTCTTTCACCTGCTGTGTTGTGCCTCTTTGCCAGATGGTCCACTTCCACTGGCTTATTCCCTCTTTTCAACCAAGGAAGCATTAGTTCCATTTTTTGCTTGACTTATTTCCATGTATTGTCTACGAGTAGCCCCCGCTTGCTTCTCCTCATCTGGCTTTCTCAAGATAATCTTAGATTTTCTTGCCGAGGTTTCTGGGTTTTCTTCCCTGGCTGGCTCCCAGTACAGTGAGAACGAGTTTCAACGAGTTTTTGGCTCTTAGAGGCTGCACTTGCAGCACACTCATTCTGTGTCTCCCTCCAGGTTACCAACATTAAGAAGACACTCAAAGCCACCGCGGCCTCCTCGGCTCAGGAGATGGAGCAACAATTGGCGGAACGGGAGTGTCCCCCTCACGCTGAGCAGAGGCAGCCCACCAAGAAGATGTCCAAAGTGAAAGGTCTGGTCTCCAGCCGCCACTAGGGCCGGCTGGGGCAGCTGGTACTCACCAGGCCTGGGTCAGGTGGGGAGGGGACACCAAGGGCCTATTTCCTCCCCTCTCTATCTTCCGTGAGTTCCAGACCTGCCCGTCCCCTCACCAGCGCCTCCCACTCTGTTGGTACTGTTCCAGAAGAACCGTTAATCCTTTCCTCCCCCACTCCCTCTTCCCCCAGTTGTTCCTTCAGACTCAGGGGCTCCACTGATGCCATCCCAACAGGGTCAGACACTGCCCAGCTTCCCTCCAGGAGCTTCTTGTCTTTGTTTAAGGGCTTGTCTCCCTCCCAGTTTTTCTTTTGCTCCATGTCATTTTTGTCAGGCTGGTCATAAGCCGGAGGCAGCCTTAGCCGGCCCACAGGGGTGACTGTGAAGGAGGCTCCTCCCTGAGTGAGGAGGAGGGTATGCCTTCTTCAGCCCCATGACCACAGTACCCGCACTGGTGCACGTGACCTCTAGCCAGGTATCAAATGCTTTGTTTTCCCTCTCCTGCCTTATCCCTTGTTGGCAGCTCCGATCAGGCCACGGAGGGATGTGATGCTGGGCTATGTTTACTAAACCTGCGGGTTTTCAGCCTCTTAAGCCCAGCTCCAGTCTCTCATCAGTCAGGAGCACTGGGTTGACTAACCTCTCGCATCTGAGCACCCGTGGAGGGTGCTGCGGGTCTGCTGGGTGGCAGAAGGTTCTTCCGGTTTGGTGTTCTTTGCTGGCCATGCTTCCTGCCCTGCTGCCCCCCGACTCCTCAGCCTGGTTTTCAGTGTGAAGGCCCCACTGCCGCCCGGCACTGTCTGCCGACACTTGCTGTCCTGAGACCCTTTATCCCTCCCGGCGGCGTCCGAGCTGGGGACGGTCGTGCTGAGGGCCCTCTGTCTGCTGAAGGGCCTGCTGCTGCTTCTGTCTCTCTCTTTCGACCCCTCCTTGGCTGATGACCCAGAGCCCTCTGATGATGGCATTCTCCTGGCAAGAGCAAAGGACTTGACTAGCCTTTCTGAACTTGAACAGTTTCAGGTTATATTTTAATTTTTTTTTTTTTTTTGTACAGGTTCTGATTCTAATACATTTCAACATGCTTTTTTTCCCCCTCGTGTCAATATTTGTTAAACTAATCGCCGGTGATTTTTCACCTGGTTGGAGGGTGGTGTGTGTGTGTGTGTGTGTGTGTGTGTGTGTGTGTGTGTGTTTTAAGGGGAGGTGGAGGTCCTGAACTAATATTAAAGTTCAATGAGAGAAAAAGCACATTTTAGAACAAAAAATAAAAGCATAGATTTAATGTATGTGACTGTGGAGTGCAGGGTTGTGTAGCTGGTGGATCTGGAGGGCTGGGATTAGGCTGGTTCAGGGAGAATGTGACACTCTGTTCCATGGATAAAAAATGGGTTTCTCCTTTTTCCAAACTGTCCAGCAGGTGTTGACTGTGGATTGAATGTCAGCAAAGTATTGTTTCCCTTTTCACCGGGTCCATGTGTCCATATAAACTTACGCTCAACTAGAGAGTTTGATTCCCAAATTATGTTTCATGAAACCCCTTGACAGATGCTCTGTGGAAAAGGGGTTCTGTTGTTAAATAAATTTCACACATCCTACATCCCACATCCTCATTGGAAATTCATTTTAAGGTCTCAGAAAAGGCCTGGGTGAGGAAGCCTATTCTCACACTGATTTCACCGCCAAATTCTTCTTGTGGAACTATCCACTATCTAGTGGAACACACTTTGAGGACATTTTTGGAAACATTATCTGTTTCTCAAAAACACCTCCCAGCCTTGTAGGTTTTTACAGCTATACTTTCTAGACCTAAAACAGGCACTGTCACTCTTGGCAACTGGTTTTTCATCCTTATCTTTTGCACTGGGGAGCAGACTAGGAAGCCTGGCTTGACTTGTGTGAAATGTGTGACCACTTGTTTGCCCCAGGGCCCTGAGGAGCTTTAGGTTCATCTTCTTTATGGTTCTGCTGCTTGCTTCCTTAAAAATAGTAATGGCAGTACTAAGAACACATTTGTGAAGTGCTCTATAAAGTGTCTTCATGTATAATAAGCCACTGAATCCCATCCACTCAAAACAATCTCCTTAGGCTGTAAGGGTAAGTATTACTACAGTTCTCACTTTACGTATGAGAAAAGGGGATTCAGAGACTCAAAAGTACTCTGACTGTAAGTGCAAGCAGCCTCCTAGGTCTCCTGGCTCATGCATCCTGCCATCTTCTCTGTGTTATAGTCTAATTTAGTCGGGTCCCCACGTGCTCACTTAAGCAGCACATATACTAAAATTAGTCTGCTCCCCAGATGGGCCTTTGGCATCCTTTTACCTGCTTGTTCCTCTGAGGGCTCATCTTGCTTTTAACTGACACCCAACACACCACAGTCTCTGCTCCCCAAACCCACTTAGCCACTTTGTAAGGAATCAGGATGGATGGGGCTGGGGCTCTAGGAATTGTGGGGGCAGCTGGGATGTTCATTGCTCTGTTGGGTTCCCCATCTGCCATGTTCTGATGGCTGGGCTGTCTGAAATATGCATAGGCGTTTTACTTCCAGTGTTCAGGAGAGGTGTCCTCATCAATAGGGCAACATTCTTAGGAAGGAGACACTGCAGCACTAAGCAGCATTAGCTAGGGAGCAGTGCCTCTAGCCACCGTCTTTAAGCTGTTTGCTTCCTGAAGTCCTCTGGTCTTTTCTGTCTGTCCAAATGAGAGGCCTTCTGGTTCCTGCTTGGGTAACATTAGGGAGGTAGTCAGAGCCCCGAGTATAGGCTGTTCTTGTGTTCCAAATCTGAGATGACCGCTGCTAATGGGAGGCTCTCCCCCTCACCCCATACTTTTGAGTTACAGAAAATGGGGGTGGTGACCAAAGATTCTAAGTTGATTAACAGCTTGTGATATACTACGTATTTGCTGGTTTCTCTATCTGATGTGCTGGGTTGCTGGAAACCAAATCATGTTCCAGTTCTTATAATTAGAGTCATTATTCTAACAGCCTGAGACTTCAAACACTTTTGAAATGCAGCAATTGATTGATTTTTACTGGACCTGAGGGCTTGTCATACATGTATTTGAGTTTCAAGTAACAGCATACTTTGATCATTCTGTGACCGTGCCTGTGTCTTCCTGGGCATTCTGCATACAGCCATGAGCATCTGATCACTTCAGTAAGTCTTTTCTTGTAGTTATGCTTGAGATTTACAGATTGAAATCTATTTTTTATTATAAATTTCACTTTGCATCTCCATTACATTACCCTGAGGACATTAAATGGATCTTTTAAACTTATGTTTGTTAGGCAGGTTATCTGTTACTTGACCTCAGGACAGTAAAGGTGTTCATTATATAAAGGGAATGTTGGGTCTTTTCAGGATAAGAACTGTTGTTCTTAGTTAAGGATAAAACAAGGAAGTAAGTGATGGAGAAGGGAAAGATAGGGTGCGGCCCAACTCTTTTTGGGGTCATTTATGCCTGTCCTTTCATTGCTTTTCCCTAGTCAGAGATTCATTTAGTTACTTACCTTTCCAGATTTTCAGTTTTCACAGGAAATGGCATGGAACCATGGCAGTGAATTATAGAACCTATGGAGAACATACATAAGTAATACAGGAAGGTCACAATGGAACTCTGGCAAACACCTCCAGCTGGACTCTAAAAGAAGAGAGATGCCCCTGAGGAAATTTTATTTTTATTTATCTATTTTTAAAGATATGTTTGAGAGAGAGCGAGAGAGGATCCCAAGCAGACTCCCCACTGAGCTTGGAGCCCGATGTGGGGCTCGATCCCACTACCGTGAGATCCTGACCTGAGCCAAAATCAGGAGTCGGACGCTCAACTGACTGAGCCACCCAGGCGCCCCATAATTCTACTTTTTGTTTTGTTTTTTTTTAATTTATTAAGTAGGCTCCATCCCCAACGTGGGGCTTGACCTCATCACCCTGAGATCAAATCGTGTGCTCTACCAACTGAGCCAGTCAGGCGCTCCTCACCCCTAAAGAAATTTTAGAATGGGCAGAGAAACACAAGGAACACCGAAAGAGATTGGGAACTCCTACAGTACCTCATGTTGCTGCTGAAGTCCCCCGACTGCAGGGTGGTGCTGCTGTATGTCTGTTGTGTCTCTTGTCTAAACACAACCGGGTCCTCAGAGCTGTTGGGCCGTCCCATCGTCTGTCCCGAGGCAGTGTGTGCTCACTGCCTACAGCCGGTCTAGTTGCACCGTTCTTTTAAAGCGGTGTGCCTCACCCCTCACTCGGTGGATGACTGGATTTCCTGCTTCACAGTGAGAAGAACACTAGGTTTTCTCCAGCTACAGAATCATCTGCTTCCAGCCTTACCTGCTTTGTTCCTATCGAAGTGGAAAAGGTATCCCTCCTTCTGCGTGAGTAATTCGTCAACTGTGCCATGTCGATCTGCCTCTCCTGTCACCAGAGTTTTCTGCCTCTGTCGTTCCCCACTAACTGCTGCGTGTGATAAGAAATTGTGTACTTTAACTCTCCCTGAACCTGATGTCCAGAGCCACCACCTTTTTTCGCTTTTAACAATCAAGCTCTAGGGGCGCCTGGGTGGCTCAGTCGTTAAGCGCCTGCCTTCGGCTCAGGTTATGATCCTAGGGTCCTGGGATCGAGCCCCACGTTGGGCTCCCTGCTCAGCGGGAAGCCTGCTTCTCCCTCTCCCTCTGCCCCTGCTTGTGTTCCCTCTCTCAATATCTCTCTCTGTCAAATAAATAAATAAAATATTTAAAAAAAAAAACCAAACAAGCTCTAGGGCTGTCTACCCTTTCTGTCTCTACTTCCTTCCTCACGCCTAAATATGACCTGAGCCGAAATCAAGAGTCTGACGCTTAACCGACTGCCTCCCAGGCACCCCTGTCTGCCTTCATCTTTATGTTATAGTTGGCACTGTTGAGCCCACTTATTTAAGTGTTATTTTAGTTTTCATGGTCGCAATCTCTAGATTTGCCTTGTGTTATCCTGCCTCTTCTAAAATTTCTTCAGGGGCATCTCTTTAGAGTCTTAGTAGTAGGCATTTGCTAGGGTTCCATCATGACCTTTTTTTTTTCTTTCAAGATTTTATTTGAGAGTGAGAGAGAGAGAGTGCAGTAGCAGGGAGGAGGGGGAGAGAGAGAGGGAGAAGTAGGCTCCCCAGTGAGCAGGGAGCCTGATGCAGTACTCTTTATTCGAGGACCCTGGGATCATGACCTGAGCTGAAGGCAGATGTTTAACCAACTGAGTCACCCAGGTGCCCCTATGGTGACCTTCTTATTTTATGTCTATACATTCTCCGTAGGTTCTGTGATTCACTCCCATGGTTCCACTTCTATTCATAATACCCAAATTTCTGTCTCCACTCATTCTGCCACCATGTGTAGTCAGCAGCTGAGATGGGGGCATCTTTACGTGCCGTTTTCCAGCTCTACTCAGATAGTAAATGGCACCCACCAGTTGCCAAGTGTACTGTTTTGTAGGGCTGGCATAACAAAATACCACAGACTAGGGGCTTAAACAAAAGTTTATTTCCTCACAGTTCTGGAGGCTGGAAGTCCAAGATCAAGGTGTTAGCAAACTTGATGTCTCCTGAGGCCTCTCTCCCGGGCTGGCAGATGGTCACCTCACTAGGGCCTCACGTGACCTTTCCTCTGTGCGTGTGCATCCCTGGTGTCTGTCTTTTCTTAGAAGGATTCCGGTCATACTGGATTAGGACCCCACTTTTATGAGTTCATTTAACCTTAATTACCTCTTTAAGCCTATCCCCAAGTATGGTCACTTTAGGGTTAGGGCTTCAACACATTTTTGGGAGAACATAAATTTCCGCCTCTCCATGCTTCTCTGCTGTGCGGCAGCAGCCTCCCCCGCTGGCAGTCCAGCCTCCCGCTGCCTCCCTCGTGATCTTTCAAACTGCAGTGGCTTCCCCTCCCTAAAGTCCAGGTTTCTGTCACAGGTCCCTCCCCTTCTCACCCCATATGCTCCAGTCTCCCTGAGCTTCTGTGGTTCAGAGAGCGCCATGGCCATCTGCGCCGCAGGACCTCTTTACCTTTGTGCAGTTTGCTCGGTCTGGGTTTCCTCCCTCCCCTGCCCCTGTCCACCTGGCAAACGCTCATCCATGAAAGCTCCCATTGCCGGGGATAACCCCCATCTCCACCATTTGGTACCCTACACCTTTTTCGGTGTTCCCACCTATTTCTTGCATTACAGTCCTTTGTAATTTATTTGCCCCGCTACTAGACTGTGAGCTGCTTGAGAGCAGGCGTTGTGCTCCCTTCTCATGCCTCCATGGTGCTCCG